TAAATATAAATATCTAAAATATAGAAATAAAACCAAATCTAAATATTACGTAATCTTCTCAAATCTTCTTCATATCTCTTTATACGTCCCCTCAAACTCAAGGAGATGAGAAACAACTGCTTGAGGTTGAATTCTCCAGAAAATAACGGGATTTGACAATCGAACCTAGGAACCGGTGGATTGTTGGCGGATCTGAAAAAGTCCGGTGAAGTAGAAGCGTGGTGCACATGCACGGTATTGTGGTGTAGTACGACAGCAATGTCGGCAGCGCAAAAGGCGCGATGGTTTAGCGGTTATGCCGGAAAAAGAAAATAAATTGTGCAAATGCACGCGGCTAAAGCCGAAAAAAAAAAAGAAAAAAAGAAGATGACGCAAATGTGCGGATCGACGATCGGAGTATTCCAATCGAAGAGGCTAAAAGCCGGATTCAAAGGCTAATGTGGCATGGATGTGCGGCGCATATGCGCGAGTTGGGTTGCACGACAATGAGGTCGGCAGAAGAAAAAAAGAGTAGCACATCGGCTAGGGTTGACAGTGATAAACACCATCGTCAGGAAAAAAAAAATAGAAAAATAAATGAATGCAAACAAAAACCAGGCTCTGATACCATAATAGGAAAATATTTTTCTATTATTGATAATGGAAAGAATACATCATAATATATAGCAAAATACAATAGAATATTCTAGGCATAATATTTAGGGAAAATCATAATCATATCAATGATAATATTCTAATAATAATATCTTCCTAGAACCCAGTCCAAGAAAATAAAATTAAGCAACGTTTTCAGAGAAACAATAGTGTTTTTTTTTTGTGTGTATAATAAACAACTAATATAATCATGAAGTATATTATTATCTTGTTTAGTTTCTAATTCAATGCTCACGTAAAGGGAAATCCTAAAACAAACACTGGATTTGTCTCATTAATAAAAAAACTCTAAATTTAAACTATATCAAATGATTATAGTGTTTTTTAGATCCAATCTTAAATTTAAAAAAAAAATAACCGAAACCAAATCCGAAATATCTTAGCAGCTTCTTTTGCAAACGAAAAGATTGAATCAAGAACAGAAATGACGAAAAATATAAGCAGACAAGGGCGATGGAGATCCACTTGATGTGGGACCAAACAGCCAAAAAAAAACAAATTGGGTAAGATATTATTAGACATGCATGTGAAAATGCCGAATAATTAAATCAAATAGAAAAAAAATCCCATGTTCATTATGATGTGATGATACACTCATCACATCCATCATCATGAATTTTGTATGACCCATTTGTTCCCTCAAAACCCCCATTAATTATGTATTTAATAAGAACCGGTTCTTTCATGTTTAGTCATTTCATTTTTACTCATTTTTTAAATGTTTTTATAGATTAATAATCAATATATTTAAAATGTATACAGAAAGACAAAAAAAACTATTTTGCATAAATTTGGGATATCGACTACTCGGTCGCGGTGTTTTTACAAGTGAGAAAGGTAATAGATATTAAGGAATGATGTGAAATGTTTTAATATTTGTTTTCTTGTTATTACTATATTCGAACCTATTAATATTCACAAGAAGAATTTCCAAAGTTATGCTATGAGATGAATAATTGCTAATTCTAGTGCTTTTGACCAACGCATGGTTGGTTGGTTTTACAAATTTTGTTTTGTAGTCTCGATTAAGATATGCTTCCATGTACTAACATTATTGTACGTATGTATATGATTATATATGTATGTATATGCCATTTTTTTCATTATAACTTAACCTAAATTAACTATTAACGAGTTACTCATGAATCGTTCACGGTCATATACACACTCTAAGTGAAGAATCGAATCTTGATTGAAAAGAAGATCAGTTGAATAACTCAATCTTAAATTATTCATATTATATACATATACACACTAAACTATAGGCTAAATTTTCCTATTAATGGATTTGACCTATCAATACTATAAAACAGTATTTTTATTATGTACTCCAAACACTAAAATTCAAATAGTAAACAACGCATCGACCGCATCTGAAATCTTGAGTATATTGATAAAAATACCACTCAATAATTCAAGTAATTTATTAAACAATTTCTAGATGCAAGGGTTAGACTCACCTATAGACCGTTAATTATTATAAAAACATAATAAATGACTATAAGATTAGGGCGGAAAATATAAACTAATAGCTTTATGTTGTACGTCTTAATTAATTAATTGAGAATATACTTGAAGGGAGAGAGAGCATGTGCCTTTATTAATTACTTATATTTTGAGAGGTGGGATTTTGGTGCCGGAAATAAAATATAATTAAAGCAGTTTAGAGTGTTATAGATATTCGATATATCTTACGGATATTTGATATCTAATGTATATAGGAAAGTTTGTTATATTTAGGTTAAAAAACTCATGTATAAGTATATGTGAATACGTAATAATAAAGTACAACCTTCAAATATCTTACATGGTCGACTATGTCTATGCCTTCTCCGGCACACAATCATCACCCGATGATCACGCAGAGTAAGAAAAACATTGTTAAACCAGTTCGAAAGCTCACCTTGGCTGTCTCTATTGTTGATTCTGACAGAGAACCGACGTGCTATACCCAGGCCTTACGAAACCCTCGCTGGCGTCAAGCTATGAGTGACGAGTTTGATGCCCTTGTTCGTAACGGCACTTGGGAATTGGTCCCTTCGAAAGGTGTCTCGAACACAGTGGGCTGCAAGTGAGTATTTTGAATTAAAAGAAATCTGGATGGCTCGATTGATCAATTTAAAGCTCGACTTGTTGCAAAGAGATTTCACCAACGTCCAGGTGTTGATTTCTAGGAGACTTTTAGTAAGGTAGTCAATCCTACGACGATACAGGTAGTTCTCAGTCTCGCCATCTCAAATGGGTGGTCTATTCGGCAACTCGACGTGAATAATGCATTTCTTCAAGGTCGACTTTCGGATGAGGTATATATGTCCCAACCTCCGGGGTTTATTGATAAGGATCATCCAACGTTCGTTTGCAAGCTTCATAAGGCTATTTACGGTCTCAAACAAGCTCTGCGAGCATGGTACTCTGAGCTTCGCACGTATCTTCTCGATGTCGGAATCATTAACTCGGTGGCTGATGCATCTCTGTTTATACTTTGTGATGCCGAAATTCAGCTCTTCGTCCTTGTTTATGTGGATGATCTCATTATAACAGGCAGTTGCTCGGACCGTATTCGGGAGTTTATATCGGCACTTGCTTCTCGGTTCTCTCTCAAGGACCTCAGCGCTTTATCTTTCTTCCTCGGCATTGAAGCCTCACGCTCGCCCAAAGGTTTGTTCCTAAGCCAACGAAAGTATGCCACTGATCTCTTGTCTTGGATGTATATGCTTGAAGCAAAGTCGGTTGTGACTCCTAGGGCCCGCTGTCGGACCCTACAGAAATTCGGATGGTAGTCGGTAGTCTTCAATATTTGTCACTCACTCGGCCAGATATTAGCTTTGCCATCAATAAGCTCTCGCAGTTTATGCACTCTTCAACCGATGAACATTGGTCTGCGGCCAAACGAGTGCTTTGGTTTCTTGCTGGCTCTCGCTCTTCTGTCATTTTCTTCCCGGTTGAAATCTCGTCTCTCTCTATGCCTTTAGCGACTCGGATTGGGCTGGTAATTCCGGTGACTTCAAATCTACAGGAGCATACATCGTCTATTTTGGTCGTCACCCGATCTCGTGGTCCTCCAAGAAACTTTCGGGACATTCTCGGTTTTCAACCGAAGTCGAGTACCGCTCGATTGCCAACACCCCTGCCGAATTGAGATGGCTTGTCTCTCTTCTGCATGAACTTGGCTGTATGTTGTCTCCGGTACCTACCATTTTCTGTGATAATATTGGAGCGACCTACCTATATGCCAATCCCGTCTTTCACTCTCGAATTAAGCATCTAGCTCTGGACTATCATTTTGTTCGAAGCAAGTCAATGATGGCTTATTACGTGTCTCGCACGTTAGCTCCAAGGATCAATTAACGAATGTTTTAACGAAACTTCTTCCACGCTCTGCGTTTCGTGATTGTTGTGTCAAGATTGGAGTTTCGAGTGATCCTCCATCTTGAGGGGACGTGTTAGAGATATTCGATATATCTTGTGGATATTTGATATCTAATGTATATAGGAAAGTTTGTTATATTTAGGTTAAGAAACTCATATAAGTATATGTGAATACGCAATAATAAAGTACAACCTTCAAATATCTTACATAGAGACCTAATTAATGGTTTACTATGAGCTAATCTCATCATTAAGAAACACATTAATGTGATTCTTTAACCATGTTCTTCTATAGTTTTTTTAGAATAATATATATACATATAACACTTATTACTGATCATCATCATAGATGGTATAATTAATATTTACTATATCACTCCAAATCGAAAGAAAATCAGAAAATCTGTACTTTCTAACAATGTGTGATCCTTGATTTAAGCAAAAAGATTATAGAAAATTACAAATGATGCAATCAATTTCAAGATGAATTTAGTAATTGAATTAATTAAAATAATTTTGTAACGTTTGATTGGCTGGACCAAGTTGTCATCCCTCCGTCTGTCATGCCACCGATCATCAAAAAGCCGTTTGGCCTTTCTTGGAAACATCTTATTTCTTTTGATATTTTATTTTATTATTTCGTATCAAATTTCATATGCAAATATATATACAAAAAAAATGCATACAGACAAAAAAAGAAAAAAATAATCTTATTTTCTTAAATTGAGAAGCTTCTTCCCTCCTTGGAAAAAGATTAGATTATCTTAAGTTGACCTTAATCATGCATTTAGAAATCGAATCACTTGTGTTCACAAACTCATAATTATATTCGTGGGTTGGACTTGCAATCACATGAATAATTTAAATATATAAAAAATAGAAAAAGATAACTTTTTCAAAGAAAAATCAAGGAACAACACCCTTTCCCTTCTTCTCTCCTCTTTATTACCAGCTGTTCTCTTCGGCACATGATGCCCGTCCCCTCTCTCTCTCTCTCTCTCTCTCTCTCTCTCTCTCTCTCTCTCTCTCTTGTCAAATTTCTGTTACGCATCTGCAACAGCGTATCTCAGGACACTATTCTGTTCTTTCTCTGGTCTGAAAGAGGATCTAGTTTTTTTTATGAAAATTATAAAATAGTGACATTTCCTTCCAATCTGTTTCATCTTTATAATGAGAAACAAATCGTAGATTCAAAATCCGACGTCGACCCACTTCTCATCTCCTCCAGTTTCCATTTGGGCATCGATTAATTTTCCCATTCATTTGTAATTTCCCCGTCAGATCATGGCTCCGAGTACAGTGGTAGTGACAATGGAGAAGCCAGAGAACTTCTCACTGCTAGAGATCAACGGCTCAGATTCATCCTTGTTCCCCGACAAGCGAAAATCCATCAGCCCAAAACAGTTCTCTTGGTTTCTCCTTCTCAAAGCCCACAGAGTTGTGTCATGTCTCTCGTGGCTATTTGGTTCTGTCAAGAGACGCATCGCCTTATCCGACAGTAACAACCTAAACGAAGAAGAAGATCCGAAAAGCAGAGGGAAACAGATGTACAGATTCATAAAGGTCTGTCTGGTTATTTCCATTGTAGCCCTTGCCATGGAAGTAATCGCTCATTACAAGAAATGGAACTTGGATCTCGTAAACAGACCATCCTGGGAGGTTCGTGGACTGGTGGAGTGGTCTTACATGGCCTGGCTTTCGTTCCGGGCAGATTACATAGCTCCTGTCCTGATCAGTCTCTCCAAGTTCTGTACTGTTCTGTTCTTGATCCAGTCCCTTGATCGGTTGGTTCTTTGCCTCGGTTGCTTTTGGATCAAGTATAAGAAGATCAAACCCAGAATCGACGATGACGCTCTTGATGTAGAAGACGCTTCGAATTTCCCAATGGTTCTTGTTCAGATTCCCATGTGCAATGAACGTGAGGTAACAAACAAGAAACCCTCTGTTCTCTGTCCTTGATTTGTTGTTAGATTCGGATTCTGCCAGAAAAATTCAGCTCGGTTCTCTGTTTTTTGTGTGGTTTCAGGTGTATGAACAATCCATTGTAGCAGCTTCGCAGCTCGAATGGCCCAAGGAAAGGATCTTGATCCAAGTTCTTGACGATTCGGATGATCCAAACCTGCAGCTTCTGATCAAAGAGGAAGTCTCGGCGTGGCAAGAAAAGGGCATGAACATAATCTACAGACATCGTTTGATCAGGACAGGTTACAAAGCCGGGAATCTCAAGTCAGCTATGAGCTGCGATTACGTCAGAGACTACGAGTTCGTGGCCATCTTCGATGCGGATTTTCAGCCTAACCCTGATTTCCTCAAGCTAACAATCCCTCATTTCAAGGTAAAAAAAAACACACACCGTCAAAATTCCCTGATTTTTTTCCTTAATTCGCGAGTAAAAATATCAGGACTTTATCTTAAGACATCACCGACAGTTGTTAGGTCCTGTTTTCATACGGTCAAAATTGTCGACAAGATCAAGTTGGTCTTTATATGGCCAATCCGTGCATTTTTTAGTGAATCTAGCACGTGCAGATTTCGTAATTTTAGCAATAAAAAACAAAACAAAAAGTAAAATCAGTGATCTAATCATCGCTTCAACTCATGCAAGTTGTCTTTGGGACGGCAAGTTGTCCTGAAATTTGGAATCCATGCCCTGAAAGAAAACAAAAAAAAAACTTAAAAGGGTATTATAGTAATTACATACATACCGAGATTTTGATTAACGTATGTATCTTTGCAGGGGAATCCTGAAGTGGGTTTGGTCCAAGCACGGTGGTCATTCGTGAACAAGGACGAGAACCTTCTCACGAGGCTCCAAAACATAAACCTGTGTTTCCACTTCGAGGTAGAACAGCAAGTGAACGGTCTGTTCCTTAACTTCTTCGGTTTCAACGGAACCGCCGGAGTTTGGAGGATCAAAGCCCTCGAAGATTCCGGCGGCTGGATGGAGAGGACGACCGTCGAAGACATGGATATAGCCGTTAGGGCTCATCTCCACGGCTGGAAATTCGTCTTCCTTAACGACGTTAGGGTTTCCTGCGAGTTGCCCGAGTCTTACGAGACTTACAAGAAGCAGCAGCACAGGTGGCATTCCGGTCCTATGCAGCTTTTCAGGCTCTGCCTTCCCTCCATCATAACTTCCAAGGTGATGGATGAAATTACACTTTACATGCGTTTCTTCGATGGCCCGTATCGATTTTCTTACCTGTTTTTGGTTGTTGTTTTTGGATTTCAGATATCGGTGTGGAAGAAGACGAATCTGATATTCCTGTTCTTCCTTCTCAGAAAGCTGATATTGCCATTCTACTCATTCACACTCTTCTGCGTCATACTTCCATTGACCATGTTCATACCGGAAGCCGAGCTTCCCTTGTGGGTCATCTGCTATGTCCCCATTTTCATGTCCCTCCTCAACATCCTCCCCTCGCCGAAATCGTTCCCGTTCTTAGTCCCTTACCTCCTCTTCGAGAACACGATGTCCATCACCAAGTTCAACGCCATGATCTCTGGCCTCTTCCAGCTCGGTTCAGCCTACGAGTGGGTCGTGACCAAAAAGACGGGAAGATCCTCAGAATCCGATCTCTTGGCCTTTGCTGAGAAAGAGGAGAAGCTGCGCAGGAGGCACTCCGAGTCAGGTCTGGAGCTTCTGAGCAAACTTAAGGAACAAGAAACGGAACTTGCGGGGCAAGAAACCTCGAAAAGCGTGGGATTAGGTCCGAAGCAGATGATGAAGAAGAGGAAGAAGAACAGGCTGTACAAGAAGGAACTGGGACTGGCGTTTCTGCTACTGACAGCAGCGGCGAGGAGCTTCTTGTCGGCTCATGGACTTCACTTCTACTTCCTCCTGTTTCAGGGACTGTCTTTCCTGGTCGTGGGATTGGATTTGATCGGCGAGCAGATCAGCTAGAAGAAAAGATTTTATTCATCATGTATCCTATTTATTTTTTAATTGATTTTTTTTTCACGGATTCGTAAGAGAACTGATTTTTTTTTTTTAAACAAAAAAAAAAAGCTTGATACTGGAATGTATTTGTTGATTTAGAAGAGAAAGGAAGAGGGGAAAAGCTGGTGAGCTCAATTTGTATACTTGTAAAAGTACATATGTACAATGTTGTTTTTAGATAACAATAATTATACCATGATGTTTCAATGGTTCATACGAGTATTAGAATTCCAAAATGTTATTATTGAAAGTTGATCGAAAATACAATTGTTTAAATGTACAAAAGGAAATTTTATAATAAGGAAGAGATAGGCAGATGTGATAAGAGAGATTATAGTGATACTAATAATACTATTCTATCTATATATAAATATCCTAAAAGAGATTATAATGATAGAGGGAGATTACATATCTATTAATAGGGACAAACCTAAAAAAAACCTTCAACTATTATATTTAGACCAAAAGAACCTTCTACTTAAAATTAATTATAAAAAACTATCAACTATTAATTTGGAGCAAAAAATACCATCAACTATATAAATTATTTAAAACTAATCTTCCACTTTAAATTTTTTATAAAAAACCATCAATGATTAATTTCAATAAAAAAAAGCATTATCTATCTAAATAACTCAAAACATATAATGTTTTACATTTATTATAAAAATCTATTAAATTTGGATAAAAAACATATGTAAATTATATAATCCTAAAAATCACAATAAAAAATAATATTTATTAAAATTTATTATATTGTTACATTTTAATATTTCAGTGATTGCAAACTATTAATTTGATTTTTTATAACAATTAATTTTTTTAATAGATTTCTATAATAATTTAAAAAAAAATCATCAACGATTTGAAGTTATAAAAAATATTCCATTCTAAATATAAAAATCTATAACAAATAAAATATACTCAATTTACAATATTACAAGTAAAAATTACCATATTTTTATTTTATTTTAGAATATATATGTTATCTCTTATATGTACAACCAATAAAATATACACAATTTTGAAATCTCTAAAATATTAATATATGATAAAATTTTAAATATAATATTTACAATAATAAAATGTACTCAATTTTAAGTGTAATATTTGTATATTATTATATGTAGATTGATGTTTATAATTTTAAAGTGAGAAATTGATTTTAAATAATTTATATAGTTTATGATTTTTTTTGCTCTAAATTAATAGTTGATGGTTTTTTATAAATAATTTTAAGTAGAAGGTTTTTTTTGTGTAAGTGTGAAAGTTGAAGGTTATTTTTAGGTTTGTCCCCTATTAATAGTATTAGTAGGAGATAGAATATATCCGAATAATGACATTGAATTTAAGTTTTCTGATTTTTTTCCATCGGTTAGAATATATTCACATCGGCTTTTATTAATTTGGTCTGCTAATATATTAATATAGAATACTTGGATTTTAATTTAATATTTCTTTTACAATACATGTTTAGTAAAATCATTCAAAAACCTTCTTACTTGTTTCTTTTATCTTCAATAATATTTAGGGATTCATTCTTTATGAAAGCAATAATGCGCATGAATTCATGGTTGCAATGCCATTATGAATGCAATAATTCGCATGTAGTGAATGAAATCAAGATACAATATATATTTTTTATAACAATGCGCATGAATCCACGGTTCCACCATGAAAATACTTCGAATTCATGTTTGCAATGCCATTAGGAATTTGGCATTTCCGGTGGGACCCACAAAGCACATGCAAAATTATATATAAAGTTTACAACTCTGACTTAGCTATTACCATCTGGTCTAGCTCTTCACCTAATTATTTTTAAAAAATATTTTGTTCTATAATTTTGAGTATTTTTTATGATATTAAATTCTTTTTGTATTCAGATTTGTAACCAAGTAATTCTTGATTTTATTGTATCTCATTGTTTTAGGATTTCGCATCTCTTCTTCTTGTACATTTTGTCTGTATTCCTTTTCCCTATTGGTCAATGTAAGAAGTAACAATAAGCCCTTCGGGGTCAGGTCAGTTGGTTGGGAGCAGGGGGCAATTTCTTGAAGTGGGGGTTCGAATCCTGCCGTCTCCCTTCCTCTGACCTGATTACCTGTCAGCCTATAATAATGGGCTGATTTACCTCCTACGCGTATGTTGCAGGCTCGTGCTCGTGGGCTTGGGGTTTAATCCGTAGGCGTCTAAGCCCAACTACGGCCCGAGCGTTAGGCGCACCTGGTGACCATGTCCGGCGGACTGAGGTCCATGGAAACTGTTAGGCGCGGGTGGTGCCCAGTTCGTCTCCGTTTGTAAAGGTAGATAGTCACGGGGTTCCCCAATGTATCAAAAAAAAAGTAACACTAATAATATTTAACAATATTAATAATTTCGTTACTGTATATTTATAACTATAAACTCTGAATAAAAAAACAAAAAATAAATTCTGAACCAACCCCAAAAGGGCCATTAATATCATCACCGACAATTTCAAAACACAATTAAAGATAATATAAAAAAAAACTTTAATGCGGTGATTAGTATATAGTAATATTAGTTATAATGACCTTGGTATGAGGACTAATGTCCCCGACAATTTTTCTTAAACTCAGAGCTTAAGCATGGCTTTGGGGGACCCACCCATGTTGCTTAATGTTATCATTATGCATTAGTAATATAAAATACGATCAAATATTCGAAAAGTTATACTGTTATAGTATTAGTATAGTTTAGGATAAATTACAAAAATTCCTATATTTTTATTTTTGCGCAATTTAAACCTTATAATTTTTTTTACCGTCAAATAATTGCTATATCGACGAACGGAGACCTAAGAAAAAATCTTCAACCTCTCACGACACCGCTATATAAGATTAAAAATAAATAAATAAATAATAAATTAATAAAATTAATAATAAATAATAAATATATACATATACGTATTCATATATGCACATACATATACATATATATATATATATATATTCATATACATATATACATGATTTGAATTGTGATACAATAAAAATATAGGATTTTTTTTGGAAATTTACCCTATAGGTTACTATCACTCACAATTAGAAAATGTGCATTTTGTATATGTTCGAATATGCATGTAAGTATATATGCATGTGCGTGTGTGTATGATAATAGCTGTCGATCGCAAGTCTTTATGATTATCCCTATAAAAATAGTTCCATACGATCTGAAATCAAATTTAGTTATAAATGTAAAATGAAAAACTGATTTCAAATATAAATAAAATTTTATGGACTATCCATAATAAATTAGATATGAGCAAATTATATGCTGTTATTATAATAAACATCGATGAGACAATGAATTATAATTATTAAAAAAACATAAAAGAAAATACATTTCTTCTGTCTTTTCCGCGTGGGCGAGAGAGCTCAGAACACACGGTTGCATGTGAACGACGTATCATCCGCCAAAGACACCGTTGCGCATTTTTAGCTCTTTATATACGCAGTGAGTTTATTTATTATTTGGCTAACCAAATGGATATACCAGTCAACCGGTCCATGACCAGTTAACCGACCCACGAAAAAATGTGGTTGAACCGGACCCTATACCGGAAATTTCACTCATCCGCGTGAACGGTGGACCGTACATCGGCGCGTGAACTTTCACTTCTCTCTCTCTCCCACTTCGTCATCTCTTTCCATTAAATCCCACGGCTTTTCCCTCACTTTCTCTCTCACTCTCTCGCCTTTTCCACAACAATGGCGGAATCATCGCCATTGAAGCTCCTCTCCCTCATCCTCACCGTCCTCCTCATATCCGCCGCCGAATCCCGCCTCACCACCGACTTCTACGCCAAATCGTGCCCTAGATTCCTCGACATCGTCCGCGACACCATCATTAACAAGCAGATCACGAGCCCAACCACCGCCGCTGCCGTCCTCCGCATCTTCTTCCATGACTGCTTCCCCAACGGCTGCGACGCCTCCGTCCTCGTCTCCTCCACCGCCTTCAACCACGCCGAGCGCGACTCTCCGATCAACCTCTCCCTTCCCGGCGACGGCTTTGACGTCGTCGTCCGCGCCAAAACTGCCCTTGAGCTCGCTTGCCCAAACACCGTCTCCTGCTCCGACATCCTCGCCGTCTCCGTCCGCGACCTCCTGGTCACCGTCGGTGGTCCCTACTACGACGTCTTCCTCGGCCGGAGAGATTCACGCGTCTCGAGATCCTCCCTCGTCGACGATCTGCTCCCGCTTCCGTCAATGCCGATCTCGAAGCTCATAGATCTGTTTGGCTCCAAGGGCTTCACTATCCAGGAGATGGTTGCGCTGAGCGGGGCCCACACCATCGGATTCTCCCACTGCAAGGAGTTCGCGGGTCTGGTCGCCAGGAACGATTCCGGGTACAACCCGAGATTCGCCGACGGATTGAGGAAGGCTTGCTCGAATTACAGGAGGGAACCGACGGTCTCCGTCTTCAACGACATCATGACGCCGAACAAGTTCGACAACATGTATTTCCAGAACATCCCCAGGGGTCTCGGGTTGCTCCAATCGGATCACGGTTTGGGATCCGACCCGAGAACCCGACCCTTCGTGGAGCTCTACGCGAGGGACGAAGCACGGTTCTTCAAGGACTTCGCCAGAGCTATGCAGAAGCTCAGCCTCTACGGCGTCAAGACCGGCCGGAGAGGAGAGATCCGGCGAAGGTGCGATGCGATCAATTGAGATTCGATCAAAGTTTCGAAATTTGAGACGATGGGTTTTGCTATTCGTTGGATTATTATTTCTGGGTTTAGCGGGAAAAATCTGAGATTTGGGCGATTTTGGATGTGAAATCTTCGAGGCATTACCCAATAAGTTTCTGTAACAGTATAATGTAACGCGTATAATATCTGTGGATGATGGTGATATTTATCCAAATGGCTTAGCTTTTAATATATATATTGTCTAAAAGTGTAAAATTCATTCTTAAATAAGTATCTCGTGGATTTTGAAGTAGCTAAATTATATATATGAACTCTTTTTTAATGAAAATTTATATATATGAACTTGTATTACTACTTGATAAAAGTGAGCTCAAATATAAATAGTGCTGTTATATCCAATTTGTTTCGGTATTAATATCCAGTAAAATTTACATATATACACTTCTTTTAAAAATGAATTTGTTATGAAATCGGGGAATATAGACAACCCAAATATTAAATCGTTAACTATGAACTCAAATCTATATTTTAGAAGAATAGAGATCAAAGTATCTTTTATTACTCTCTCTTTTAGAAATCTCTTTTAGAAATGTACAAATGAAAGAATCTAAATGACTTATTTATATAAATTATGAAATTACTTTTCACATATACAGTCGGTGTAAACAGTAACTATATATATGAACAATAAGTCGGTGTGAACAGTAATGGTGGGCTCCACTATAAATATATTTTATCTATAATACTCCCTTTGAAGCCACCGTTAGTAAAAACACGGTTGCGTGTTTTGGTACCAACTCGTTAAAAACTTTATCAGTAAAATCCAATGGGATAAAATCTAATAAGAGAAAAAGAGTACAACTATACACTCCCCCTGAACAAGACATCAAAGATCCCATAAAATGACGCATTCCAATATTATATACATACTTCTTGAACACCGTTGTCAGAAAAGTCTTGGTGAACATTTTTACTGCATTGTCACATGATCTACATATCTAACTTCAATCTCCTTATTCTTTTCAAGTTCCTGGGTATATGCGAAGAACTTCGGGGGAATGTGTTTTGTTCTGTCAATTTTGATGAATCCTTCCTTAATCTGTCAATGCACACATCATTATCTTCAAACAATATTGTTGGCATCTTGTCGATAGGTAATCCACTAGCCTTTTGAATATGTTGAGATAGTGATCTCAACCATACTGATTCTCAACTTGCCTCATGTAATGCGATGACCTCGGCATGATTAGTTGATGTAGTTATTAGAATATATTTTTTAGAACGTCAGGCTAATGCAGTTCCATTGATTGTGAAGACATAACATGTTTGTAACATGTCTTTGTGTGGGTCTAATAAATAACCTACATCTGTAAAACCAACAATTTCTTGTTTTGATGTTTTTAGGGTAAAACAATCCAAGATCAATAGATCATTGAAGATAACGAAATAAATGTTTAACCCTATTTCAATATCTTCGTATTGGGACAGAACTGTATCTTACTAATAGATTGATAGCGAATGATATATTCGGTCTAGTACAATTTGCAAGATACATAAGATCTCCTATTGCACTTCGATATGGTACTTCATGACCAAGTATCTCTTCATTGTCTTTGCGAGGATGAAATGAATCATTTTCAATGTTCAATGATCTATTAACCATTGGGATACTTAGTGGATTTGCCTTATCCATGTTGAATCGTTTTAGTACATGTTTTGTATAATTAGATTGATGTAGAAAGATCCTATTTTTCAAATGTTCTATCTCTAACCCAAGACAATACTTGGTTTGTCCAAGATCTTTCATTTCAAATTCCTCTTTAAATAAGTTGATGTATCCTGGATTTCATGGGAAGTTCCAATAATATTTAAATCATCAATATATACAGCAATAATCACAAATCCAGACGTCTTTTTTATAAATATACATGGTGATATGGGATCATTCGTATATCTATTTTTCAATAGGTGCTCACTCAGACGTTTATACTACATACGTCCTGATTGCTTTAGCCCGTACAATAATCGTTGTAACTTGACAATACATAATTATCGTGATTTTGATTTCAATATTTCGGGAATTTTAAATCCTTCAGGGATTTTCATGTAAATGTTTGTGTCAAGAGACCCATATAAATAAGCAGTAACAATATCAATGAGGCGCTTTTCTAATTACCGAGAGACTAATTAGGTATCAGAATGTAATAGCATCCATCACGGGAGAATAAGTTTCTTCGTAATCAATTTCTGGTCTTTGGAAAAAACCTTGTGCGACAAGATGAGCTTTATATCTAACAATTTCGTTGTGCTCATTTTTTTTACGCACAAATACCCATTTACATTCAAAAGGAATAATGTCTTTTGGTTTAACAATGATATGTCCAAATACCTTTCACTTATTAAGCGAATGTAATTCAGCATGTATGGTATCTCTCCATTTTATTCCAATATGATCTCCTTTGACATTCCCAAATAGATCTGGGTTCTGGATCCTCATTTTCATCAATTTCCTTCGATACGTTATAAGAGAATATATCATCAATTTCTTTAATTTCTTTTCTATTTTATAATGTACCATTACTGATATGATTAATTGAGATCTTATAATTTTCATTATCTGGATTTGTACCTGTTGGGATTCCTGGAATCTCGCTAGCAATTCATAATCCTAAAGATCCAGTTCTAGGGTTCATGCAGCGGAAGGTGAAAAACAAACATTTTTCTAAACAAAACCTAAAACCGAACATGCATGATTATAGATCTATAAAAAGAAACATTAACCTCAAATGATCCGAGGTCTGTACTCACAACTGAATCGTCGATCACAAGAAAGAAGAAAGTATACCAACCAAACCCTCTACACGTATCCACACGTCGGGAAGGATTATAACGGTTGGAACTTGTCTGTTAGGACTAAAAATCCCGATCTCTATAATGTGCAGGGTTTCAGGGAATCAAAAACGGGTTTGGGGACTCTTAGACCTGCTCTAAAAGTCTGAGGAGACGTGCCAAAACCCTAGGGGTCGAGCCCCTTTTATTTTGGTTCCAAAAACCCTAGTTTGAGCAGGGGGAAAGCCAGACTGTGGACCGGTCGCTCTAGGTTAATTTTTCCATCCGAACGCAACGTTTGCTCCGGAGGCTGGATCGTCCAGTCAAATGGTCTGGATCGGTCGGTCTACCAAATCTAGACCAGTCGGTCCAGACATATGGACCGGTCGGTTTGGACTCCGGCGACTCGGGGATTCTCGTCTCTTTCTCGCGCACTCCACTACTAGAAAACAGCAAAAGGGTGACGCAACTTTTGCGTCACCCTTTTATATTTTTGCGTCACCCTTTTCAAAAGGTGACGCAATAGTGACGCAACCAAAAGCGTCACCATTCATACCGTCACCAATTCAGATTTCGTCACCAAGCGTCACCAAAGGGTGACGCAATAGTGACTCAATTTTTGCGTCACTAAATAGTGACGCAATTGCGTCACCTTTTAGCGTCACCTTTTGGTGACACAATTGCGTCACTATTTAGTGACTCAAAAAGGTGACGCAATTATTGCGTCACTAAAACGTATTTTGGATTCAAAAATAATTTTTTTTAATCCCGAATCTAACCCTATACCCTATTCCCGACCTCTAACCTCCAACCGCGATCTTAACCCGAATCGGAAACTCTGAGATTGAATCCTCGAAATCCACTTCCCAGGAGGTCACCCATCCTTCCACTGCTCCAGCTCAAGCACGCTTAACTTTAGAGTTCCAATTGACAACCAACCAACTGATCCAAGTTAAACTTCTGATATATTACTACATTAATACATATACATATACAAATATTTATACTTACAAATATATATATATATACGTATATATTTGTACGTATATATACATACATAAAATATATATTTATATACATAACATATGTTTGTATGTATAAATATATGTAAAATACACATTTATATATAAAATACTCGTATATTTGTATATACAAATACACATATATATAATATATACGTATATATAAAATTTATGTTTTATATATATTCGTATATTTATACATACAAATACATATATATATATATATAATATACGTATATATAAAATTTATATTTATATAGAAATACTCGTATATTTATACGTACAAATA